CCCATAGCTTTGCCAAAGCCGGCAGAAATCCCCACGCATGCATCGCTGATCTGCTGCCATCCCGAGCGGTATGACCAAGGACCGTTCCAGCCGTAACAGTTCTCCCGAACCGAGATGATGCCACGTTCCCGATCTTTGACCAAGTCGATGATCCCCTGTTGGCCGAAGCCATACTTATCGAGCACACCCGGCCGATAGCCTTGAACTACGACATCTGCTTCTTTTATTAGATTTCGGAGCTTTTCTTTTCCCTCTTCGGTCTTCAGGTCGAGACTGCATTGCCATTTGCCCCAGGAGAGGTCAACGTGTAGCCCACTGAAATCTACAAGATTCGGGGAGGTAACGCGCATGACACTTGCCCCCAGTTCGGCCAGACCCCTAGTCACAGCTGGTGCGGCAATAACACGTGTCAGGTCGATGACTTTGAGCCCAGCTAGAGGTCTGGCTGCCGAAGTCTGAGGAGTCGACGGCCACCAAGAAGGCTTCTGCGCAGGATTCGGGGCTGTATGGATCTCGAAGAGCCCGACATGCGCATTTGCCTTGCCGTGTTCAGTGGCTCGGAAGGAGTCCACGGTCTCTGCTATCACCCCGGCTTGCTTATAGACGTCGGATGCGAGGTGCTGCATCTCGGCCGAATCGATGGTGGCCAACTTCTCAATGAAGGGCTGCATCGCCTCCTCCCAGGTCTTGAGCTCAGGTCGATCTTCAGGGAAGCCGATGCTATCGAGCGTCGGCTTTGGATTCATGCTCCCGTGCAAGTGAAAATAGCGACCATCTTTCGTCTGGTAGATATTGGTCACGCAAGACCTGTACAAACTCGATGCCATTTTATGGAAGTCGTAGTTGGGGATTATGTCGTCCAACTTGTCGATATTCTTGGACATGGAGATGGTGCGGTCCGTGTCCGGGTGAATCTGCCAGAGAAGCGTCGACATGAAGAACAGCTGGGCATGGTCCGTATTGATCTCGGCCCCTGTGAGTTTCACGTTGTATTTGCGCTTCACCAGCGCGTAGACGATGCATGCTTCAAAGGCCTTCAGACTCGCCGCAGACTCGGCAAAACGCCAATTGATGGGGATCGAGGGAAGGTCGGTGCCCTTGAAGGTGATGCGCGATGCGAATTCATGAGCTTCCCGAGGAATGTCCTTTGCGATCTTGGGATTCTCCAGCAATGCGCTGGTCAACAGCTTCTTGGACTCAGCAGGGACGGAATAGGACGATATGACATCCGATGGCGCGGCATCGACGCTACCCATGTTGGCCGTTTGTTAACCGTGTCCGGTCCGTGGTCGAAACCCAATTTCCAAAGACAGAAAGGGCTTTAAAGAAGATGGGTGGTAGAGGTGAAAGAGACTATACAAGTTCTGTCATGGACGTATCTATTACTCTCACCGATGCAGTGGGATGTCTTTCTCGAAACGATCTCTCCTCGACGACCACAGGCACAGGGAACCTCGGATCAGCGACGATGCCAAAAGTACCTCTAGAGAGGCGGTTCGCAGGGCCCCTTGTATCTGACTCGAATTCATGGAATAACCCCCGTCGCTCCGTCCCCACCATCACCAAGTGGAGAGGGGTAGAAAGAGGGACCCGGGGGACGGCGAGAACATGATTGGTATTCTACGAGTCAGCGCTCACGAAGCCGAGGAGTAGAACCACCAGAACCGCCGATCCCTTCAGTTGGTGCCTCGGAATACCTCAAGAGGTAGATTCAGACGCTGTCGGAATAGCGGCATCACACCTATACGACCAAGAAGGATTGTGTCGTCGTCATGAAGACAACAACTACGCTTCTTACATCTTTGTGGACAAGGAGAAAGTCTCCCATTTTCGACTGAACGACATCCTAGACGACAGCCTATTGTCAGGACTGCCTCAGCGTCTACTTGGCAATAGGAAGCCAAGTCGAGAACTACACTTTGGACTCAGATTTCGAGAGGAGTCTGAGTTGACACATCCACCATTTGCCAACTATCTTGATTCGGAGTTTGTAGTGTGTTCAACTTCCATCTACCAAGATGGGCGATCCAGGACCAGGCTCGACACCCGCGACTCGACCCTGTCGGATTGCCAACTGCTCCGGAGCACGTGGCGATCCAGGGTACCAGATGCGGCGCCAGGCCACTTATGGACCTGTCGACTTCATCACTGGCGACTACCTCGCCGAGATGAATCTGGCCGAAAATGCAGAGAAGATGGCAGCGGGTAAGCATGATGGCTGGGAACCGACCGCCTGGGACGGCCTTGAGCAGACACTAGATGTCATCAAGGAGAAAGGAATCCGGATCATTATTAACGGTGGAGCATTGAATCCAAAGGGTTTGGCGAAGAAGGCGCAGAAATTCGCCAATGACCGAGGTCTGGACCTGAAGATCGCCTATGTGTACGGTGATGACTTGGTCGAGGAAGTCAGAACCAGTCTCGAGAAGACAGGTAAACTGCCACAGCACCTGGACGGAGAGAACGACAAAGTCTCGCTGGCAGAACACGCGACAGACTTATTGGACACCAAGGGGAAGCCTATCGTGAGTGCAAATGCATACCTAGGTGCACGAGCCATTGTCAAAGGCCTCGAGCTAGGTGCCGATGTCATTATTTGCGGAAGAGTTGCAGACGCGTCCCCAGTCATCGGAGCAGCTTGGTACTGGCACAAGTGGTCGGATACAGATTACGACCGACTGGCCGGAGCACTAGTGGCAGGGCATCTGATCGAATGTTCGGCCTATGCGACAGGGTCGAATTTCGCGGGCTTCGACGAGTACCCTCTTGAGACTTTTGTGGATCTCTCATTCGGGATAGCAGAGATTGCGGATGACGGGACCTCGGTCATCACCAAGCACGACGGGACCAAGGGCCTTGTCAATGAAGACAACATGAAGTGTCAGTTCTTATACGAGCTTCAGGGAGGCACATACCTGAACTCGGATGTCTCTGCCGACACGACAAACATCAAAATCGAGCAAGTCGGCAAGGACAGAGTCAAGCTGTCGAACATTAGAGGATATCCACCTCCTCCCACCACGAAGTTGGCTATCTTTTACCATGGAGGTTACGAAGCACAGATACTCACCAACGCTACCGGGTATGCAACAGCTGAGAAATGGAAGCTCTACGAGATGCAGATGCGGCATGCTCTCAAAGAGAGGGGTCTCATTGATCAGTACCAGCTGCTGGACTTCCAGATCCTAGGAACTCCACAGGCGAACCCGAGATCGCAGTTCTCCAGCACCACGTACTGCAGACTGTTCATCCAGGCCGACACGGAGGCCGCCATATATGGACTGTTGAAAGTGATGAGCGAGATCGGGATGCAGCATTTCTCGGGCTTCCATCTCTCTCTGGACCTCCGAACTGCACTTCCAAAGTCTTACCTCGCTTTCTACCCGGCTCTGTACCCGCAGAACGATTTGAAAGAGGGCGTGGCCATCCTGGCCGCCGACGGAACAGATGCGCAAACTGCAGACGCCGGCCATCCTCCACAGTATCAGAAACTAGCACCTCGTGAAAATTACGAGACCGCACATCCCGTCGACCTTGCCTCCTTTGGACCCACGCGCAAAGCGCGTCTCGGAGATGTGGCCCTCGCCCGTTCAGGAGATAAGGGAGCGAACATCAACTTTGGCATCTTCGTCCGTCGCCCTGAGCACTACCCCTGGCTGCAGACGTTCATGACGCGGGCTCGACTGCAAGAGCTCATGGGCGACGACTGGAGGGACGACTTTTTCATCGAGAGGATGGAGTTTCCACATATCTGGGCCGTGCATTTTGTCATCTATGGACCCTTGGGCCGAGGTGTGAGTAGCTGTCGCTTGTTGGACGCCTTGGGCAAGGGTTTTGCGGACTACATTCGGGACAAGGTGGTGGATGTACCGGAAAAGATCTTGGACGAGGCCGCTGCTGTCAAGAAGGAAAGGAGGAGCATGTTGTGAAGGGGCATGAGGGAGAGGGAGCCACTCGTGGCACGGTAGCATATCTTTTGGGCTACTACTTTTACTCCTAGCAGATACTGCGTAACATGTCTAGGGAATGATTCCTGTTTTGGTTATCTTCTTCCCTTGACCGGGTCAAACCCCCGATCGTTGTTGGGGGCAGTACCGAGTATTTTGATAGTGCGTCCCAAAATTGCGCATTGATTGCCTAGGTAATTGCTATTTCTGTGATTACTAGCCATGCGTGCATGTGCTCATGTGTTGAATTCTGCATCACATCTGGACCGCGAGGCTGTGATTGGATTGTTTGTTTATGCAAGCTAGTGACCCACATGATCGGATCATCTCTTTTCCGTGTACAGATTTTCTCTAAGCCGAGGCTCATGAGGCTGTCGCCACATGCACTTCCACTTCCATATTGGATTGATGTCAGTGGCGCTTCGAGAAAGATCTTTTTTGTCTCTTATCGTATTTCGTATTTTCCACGTCTAACTTTGTCATGCCATGCGCATCTTGGGTACCACAGAAACCCCTTGGCACCGAGACATGGCCGATCACAGGCAGCGCAAGCTGACACCAGATCAGCCCTTGAAAGGCTTGCCTGCAGCCTGGCTTTTTGTATCCCCCGTGCCCCCTTGAAAGATGAAAGCTTTTCGGCACGATTCTTCCGAGGTGCGCGATATGAAAAGGACGGCGCCGAAAGGCATGTCGTTTTGGGGCCCGATGTCCGATCTTTGCCAATTTACCAACGGCAACGCCGATGTTGTCCAGCGCAGATTCTTCTCGATACGGCCTTATCAGGTTGAACACTGGCACGGCGCTGCTGGTCCAAGATTTGACTGTGGAGTTTGGATAGAAGGTTTGAAGTTGCATTCCACCACTCAGACCGTCTTCGGATCTGGCCTCCCTTGGATAGTGCCCGAGCGTGATGCAATCGTGTCTCAATGGCCTCTCTAGACGATTCGATCTTTTCCAGATACAAGTACACAAAACTGCCCCTGTCACCCTCAATGGGAACTACATGCACGTTTTGCTCATCCAAGGACGCCATTCTCCTCTACGACACACATGATGGCTGAGAAACACGACTACGAGGATCAAACACCTCAGACTCTGTCCTTGTTCCGCCTCGTCGCCGATCAAGCCCGAGTCACCGACGAAGTACTCCATTTTCCATATCCCGGATCAGGCACCACAGAAGATCCCTATCTCGTTAGCTACATACCCAATGATCCGGGCAACCCGTTCAACTGGTCGCAAGGCAGACGATGGATCGTCAGTTTGATCGTGGCGACTGAAGTGCTAGCGACGGCTTTTGCGTCGAGTGCGTTTAGTGGTACGTTTCACCACATCCGGATTGTATCGACCCGGCCGTCGAATTCCTCTTGCTAATTGCCACGGTAGGAACTCTACGTGAGCTCATGGTCGATCTGGGCGCTAGCACAGAACTGATTACTGCCGGTATATCGCTCTTCGTTCTCGGTTTTGCAGTCGGACCGCTATTATGGGCACCGCTGTCGGAGCTTTATGGGCGGCAGATAATTTACATCATCACCTTCGGCGGCTTCACGGCCTTCTGTGCTGGCTGTGCCGGCGCCAATGACATCGCAACTCTTCTGGTGCTGCGATTCTTCGCCGGGGCTTTTGGGTCGTCGCCATTCACCAACGCCGGCGGTGTCATTGCGGACGTCTTCCCAGCGTCGCAGAGAGGGCTGGCCATGGGTATCTTTGCGCTGGCACCCTCGATGGGGCCGACGCTGGGGCCGTTCTGCTCGGGATTTCTGGCCGAGAACCAAGGATGGCGATGGGTGATGGGCATGTTGGCCATTTTCGCCGGCGTCATGTGGATTCTGGGTACTGTCTTCGTGCCCGAAACGTACGCGCCCGTCATCCTCCGCAAGAGAGTCGCCAAGTTGTCCAAAATGACCGGCAAGGTGTACATGCTCGAGTCGGACAAAGGGAAAGGAGCGCCATCACTAAAATCTCTGTTGCCCACCGCACTCATTCGACCATGGATCCTGCTGTTCATGGAACCGATTGTGCTGTTACTGTCGCTCTACATTGCCATCATCTATGGTATGTTTTACACAGAGTATCCGCCTTTGTGGGTCGAACCCGCGCTGACAATAATATTCCTAGGAACTCTGTATCTCCTGTTCGGTGCCTACCCGATTGTTTTCCAACAGAAGCGCGGGTGGTCCGAGGGCGTTGGCGGGCTCCCGTTCCTGGGTGTCGCCGTCGGCATGATCTTGGGCATCGTCTTCGCCGGCTGGACGAACAAATGGTACACCGACGAGGCCGAGAAGCACGGAGGTGTCGCCCCGGCCGAAGCTCGACTGCCACCCGCCATGTACGGAGCCGTGGCCATTCCCATTGGGCTGTTCTGGTTCGCCTGGACCAACTACACGTCCATCCACTGGATCTCGCCCGTCATGGCCGGAGTGCCCTTCGGCTACGGTTTTACGGTCATCTTCCTGGCCGTGACCAACTACCTCATCGACGCGTACACCATCTTCGCCGCGTCCGTGTTGGCCGCGAATACTGTTTTACGATCCCTCTTCGGCGCCGCCTTCCCCCTCTTCACGCCCGACATGTTCGACGCCCTGGGCATCCACTGGGCGAGCTCGATCCCGGCCTTCCTCGCCCTGGCGTGCGTGCCGTTCCCCTTCATCTTCCGCAAGTACGGCGCCCAGATCCGCAGCCGCTGCGTGTACGCCGCGCAGGCCGAGGCCATCATGGCCGAACTCCGCGCAAAGGCCGCTTCGCGCGCCGACAACGCCGTGGTCGAGTCCGGCGACAACTCGCCCCGCCGCTCGAGCGAGTTCGCCACCGACACCGAATCCGAAAGTGCGGCAGAACCGAAATTCGAACCCATCCGGACTAGAAAGTCGTTTGCGTCCGAGACGGGTGCCGCGGCGTCCATGACGAGAATCAGGTCCCGCACAGGCAGTATCAGCGAGGCGGCCAACTACAACTTCAGCCCCTACGATATCGACAGAGTGCACACGACGACGTCCATCACCGGTCTCGACCTGACGCGCACGCGGACGAACAAGTCCAGTCGCTCTGCCGGCAGGCAATGAGACTTTCTCTAACGGAGTTTGTGGGGACAAGAGGAGTATATTTGATCGGGTTTTTTTTTCTGCGGACGTCGATATTTAATCATTACATACATGCATATAATATATGCATGCACAGCGAGCGCTCAAGTCACAGAGGCTCTACGACTATACGACCACGTAATTAGACACTAGACAATAGAGTGTACAAGAAAGAATACTGGGCCTCGTCTGGGCCTATAGATATAATATACACCTAATATACACATGATACACATATAGAATGTAGTCGATAACACTTGTGATTCCACATACAAGGTCCTGTCTTCACAGTGCCTGCCTGCCAACTCGATGCATCGATGCTCCAAAGTATATCTTTCACTCGAGAAAGAGAAGATGGCGTGGGAGCATTGACACCCAGGACAGGACAGGTCAGGTCTCCATTATAGGATTTTCAAGAGGTATACGCAGTACCCCACACTCAAAGAACATGACATCGGCTGTCACATGTAGCTCTCTGCTATCCTCTGGTGGCGTTTCGTCGACATAGTTGACACAGTCTCGGTATGCCCTCTTCGCACCGAGTTCTTCTATCATTATATATATATATATATTATATATACGTGGTCAGTGTTCCTCTCGAAGTCCTGAAGCTGGATATGTGGAGCCGAGAATTTTTCGGTAGAGGAGCTGGTATTCATCGATCGGACAGGTGAACGGACTCGCGGGTCGAGAGCCTCAATGGTAACTGCAAACGCAGTGGCTCATCGCTCGCTGTGTGTTACTCCTGGCCATGCAGTTTAAACCGTATCGGTCCGGCCGACCAAGGCATCTCCAATCAAACGGTGAGAGTGCTATCCCGGTAGAGTCACATTGGGGCGCAACCCAACATCGACAGTACCAAGGAGGCAGAAGAGTTCTTCAGCTCATATCGTCAGACATGTGTCCAGACTCTCATTCAGCATGGTCAACGTCGCCCGGTACTGATGCCATATCTGACGTCTCGACTCGACGGCCTCGGCAGTATTCGCATTCTTGATCCTGCAAGTGCAAAAGCGGACGCGTCAGCATCTCGTCTCATATCCCCCTCCTCAGAGCCTCAAACCTCAATTGGATATATATTCTCTCGGGGACACATACAGCTGTTTATCCAGACCCTTGATCTTCCAGAACTGGAGGTGCAACAGGTTCTTCAAGATCCTGTGCTCGAATCCGTTGTATTTTCTTGCATTCTCCAGAAATTTCAGCGTGTTCTGTACGCGACGCAGGTTGAAATTTGCGGGCGACGAGGTGCGGAACGAGGCGCGCAGAATGTCGCGGATCTCGTAGCGAGCAGGCCGGGCGTGTTTCACCGCGCGAAGGGAGGTCCGGTAGAGGTGGCGGTAGGCGTGGAGGATGGTCTGTTTCGGGATGGGCGTGCTCATCGAGGAAGAGGGGGAGTGTGCTCGCGCAGCATGTACTTTGCACAGGAAGAATGCAGATGTCGGAATCGGAGAGCAATGCAGATCGACGTCAAGAGTGGCCTCTATCCTCTTTTTGAAGAATAGTGCCGCCGCCCTAGATGACATTAGCTCAAACCAATTAGATAATAGAGATGGGTCTCCACTAACACTCGGCCTTAAAATGGCTAGTGCGAGGTCTTTGGATTATGTGGAGTCACTTTGGACAGTTTCACTTCCTTCCATAACCAGACGCCTTGCAATTGTCCCCTTAGTCTTACCTCTGCTGCTCTGCCCATACGTACTGATGATTCTCAGGGTTTCCATTTTTCCCTCAAAGCAGGGTTATGCTCTTGCAATTCTCCACCTTTTCTCTGGTATCCACCCATCCAATATTTGTCGTCTCCATTAATACGAGCAAGCTGAAAGCTTCTCCCCACTTACAATGACCATGCACATACCTCGCAAGGTTCTTTCTTGGTCGAGGACCTGGAATGCTCCATGCTTGGAAGGCGGCACAATTGATACCTTGCGGACGCCATTGGCTAGTTATAAAAGCGAGAGTCAAGACTCTACGTGATGCGGCTGAAGAATGACCGTGACTGGTACCTTGCATTTGATTGCATGCGGTGTTGAAAAGCGATTGACCAAGTCCTTGAGCGCGGGCTCAAATGCCTTGGAACTCGCCTAACTCCATATTCCAGGGCAAGACGTTATCCATTGTCCATGTGATATTGGACAAGCTGTGCAAATCATGTGGCGCGGCTGAAACCACGTCGAGATCACGATCGACTCGACCGCTTTCGTGCGTGGGCAGTGTCGATCATGCAGCAATGATGGAGCAAGTGGGGGAAGTCCCGTGTGACTGCAGCCGGAAGCGGATGAGAGTCACTCGATCCAGGCACATGAGTACCGCATATCACACATATCACAGTGCCAGGGTCTTGTTCTGTGGCGCAACCTGAGGTAGGCCATGGGATTTTCGAAACCCCTTATGCAGAAACAATGCCCCTCGGACACACAACCATCGAGAAAAGCGGGACTTGAAGCGTGGTGTAGCTGAGAGGTACCACAAGAGCATCAACATCAAAATTGGCTCCACTTGGTTGCTTCATCACATGGTTGTCGAAAAACAATTTTGTGGATTAACAGAGCAATATCACAAGTCTGCTGCGGCAATCTTCAGCTGTTTCTGCGCTATGGCACCCAAAAAAGTTCGACGAATCATGGCTGATGCACCGTCTGTCCGGGGAGACGGCAGTTAATGCCCTCATCTTTATCTCTTTTGCCAGAAAACTTGAAGTAACATCCAGGTACTCCCAACCAGCTAACTGATCCAGAACAATGAGTTGTATCGACAATTTCTCAAGTCCATCTCGCCTTCGTGTACAATCTGACCACCGGACACACACCACATTTGTCTTCAATGTGCCGGCTCGAGCCTCGACCCTGAAGACCGCTTTCAACACGGCTTGTGGCTCAGCTGAACTGCGGACATGTACAAGTACTGGACCAGGCTATTGGCTGCTTCCTCTTCTTCCTGTAGCGGTGTGTTGTTGGCACTCATCACAGCTCCCTTTTCTTAGTCATTGGCCCTGTGCTCTGTCGACAGGGACCTCGGAGTGTTGATGTCAACATCTTCTAGCACTCACGGTGTCCCTGATTTTCAGTGAGCTGCCATTCTCGGCGGGCGCTGGCCTAGACCTCACAAGAGCTACAGAAGCAGATCGCTGCTCAGTCATGGCTAGCTGAGCGTCAGAATATCTCGACCCTTGTCTTTGTCCCGCGAGCTGTGGCTGGCGCAATGCGGCCTGGACTTGCTTACTTACAGAGAGGTCTGTCTCAAAGTTGCTAAGGATATGTTGTTGTTGACGTCTTGCGCGGATCATCTGGCTTCATCAATCTGGCTTTCAAAGAAACGATAACCCATGCAAGGTACATGGCTGGGTCTGGATATTATTTGCTCAGGGCATTCTGCACAATGCAGCCTCAGCTGAGATGCACGGCACCGCGGGAAAGGTGATGGTGAGCTGCAATACGAATGTGGTCGTCTATATAAATGCGTGCGGCAAAGATGATTTTCGTCGTCCTCTTAACCACCATCCAGCTACGGAGGGTGAACCCAGATTCTTTCACAACTCGATTCCAGTTCCCCAGAATACCTAACGAAAGCAACCAGAAAGCCCGTCATCCATCCAATGGGACAACACAACACGCAGAGATTTCTAACACTACCATCCTCACGCAGTGCCTTCGCCTTCCCCCGAGACGACCTTCACCGACGTCGAGATGGAAAACAGCATCATCCCACCATCCGTCATGATGTTCAACCCGTCCGGGTACGGGCTGAATATCGGACAGACCGACGTCGTGAACAATCTGGTCGTCGACTCGATCGGGCTGCTGAATCTGCCCCCGAACATGGCTGGCCCGTACTTGCCCGAGGACAGCTCGACGATTTCAGACGTGTACGGCATGTGGCTTGGTAAGGCTGATCCTTATCTTCTTGGAACGTGGTTTCGTTGGTCGGTCGGTCGGTCGGTCGGTTGGTTTGGTCAGACGAAGAACTAATTCTCTTTCTCGTGATCTGTAGGTCCGACACCAGAGGAAGGCGGATTCAGCATCGAATTCAGTGTCGTGGGCCCGTACCCGCCGGCCGAAGGCGTTCGGTCGGGAGAGGCTGCGAGGGCGAGCACCACCACCACAACCGAGGCTGACGCGAGCATGGCACCGCCAAAATCCGTCAAATGGTCGCGGGTCAAGTTTGCCGCGCTGTCCCTCGACGAGCTCAAGTGTGCCGAGAGACAGCTCAAGGAGGCCCAGGACCGCTGGAAAGATAACCACCAGGTGAGTTTCGTACCATATTATCGTGGGGATGAAGTTCCCCATTTTTTTTTGACAGCCATCAACAATTTGTTAATCATCCGCGCTGGTGCGTTGGCGTGTGGATAATAGGCTTTGGAGTTGCTGGATGCGTGGCTCAAGGAGGTGGCGGACGCGAAGAAGAAGTATGAGCTCGAAGGGGAAGGGGGGGAGGGCTCTAGCTAGGTGACCTCGATACTCTGGTTGGGATGAGAAGAGCTACGGATCTTCTCGTAGGTATAGGCCGCGAGGCGTTGGGTTGGTAGTATACCCTTGTCCGTCTGGAGGTAATAATCTGTATTGAACGAACCCTTTCCATCGTTCGTTCCTCTTCTTTCATGATAGACCTCACCACCGTCTGGTCGTCTATATCTCTCCCAAACCTGGGTCAATCTTGAAGCCTAAACCTTCTGCTCGACACTAAAATTCACTTCCGAGACATCACTCCCACTCCCTCTCTCTTCTTCGACCGCCTGACCCTCTTCAACACCGCCGGCAACTCCGGCCAAGCTCTCGAACGGCATGCGCCTCTCCTCCCGCGCGTACGACCCCCCCACGAACGACAGCGCAAAGTACACGACGCTGCTGATGGTGCAGGTGTAGAACCAGCTGAAGGCGTACAGGTGGGTCCAGCCCGCGCCGTGGACGACTTGGGCGTTGAACGTTTGGGCGAAGCCGGGGAGCTGTCAGCAAAGGGTCAGCATGTACAATACATATATTGTGACGCAGGATCATAGATAATGTAGATATCGGTGCGGTGCAGGGTACATCGACGGGTTGTACACATATTGTTGAACACTCACCATAAAAACCACCGAACCCAACCACGTCACGACGGGCCGCCAGGCCACGCCGTGGAAATACCAGTACCGGCCCTTGGCGCGGTACAGCTCCGGCACAAAGACGTTGCCCCTCCGCACGACCAGGTAGTCCGTCAGGGCCATGCCCAGGAAGGGGCCGAGGAAGATGCTGTAGCCGTTGAGGAACTTGAGGAAGGCGGTCGCGGTGGCCAGGATCTGCCAGGGGCAGATGCACACGCCCAGGATGTAGCAGAGCCACATGCCGCGTTTGATGTTGAGCCACCGGGGGAAGAGGGACATGAAGTCGGCGCCGAAGGGGATCACGTTGGCGCCCAGCTCGGTCAGCGCGTTGCCGAAGATGAAGGCCAGGTTGATGATGGCGATGCCGGCCCGGCGCGAGTGGCTGAACTGGTGGTCTAGCATGTCGTGGTTGAGGTCCCATCTGTACCATGCATGACACATAACGACATATCAGCTTATGGCGATTCATAATTTCACGAGAAGGAATCTTCTGTTTTCTTGGGAGGGTAGTAAAAAAAAATTTGCAATGGCTGTGTTCAAGGCAAGGGACTCACGGATTCCAGTCAATGTTGCCCCAGGCATTGTAGATGTTCTGGGTGGCGTAGATGCCCATGGCCGCGCAGACGGTGCTGGCCACGGGGAACATGACGAGCTGCGACCACACCGGGGCCATCTTGCTGCGAGCGTAGCGTGCAATGTCCGGCTGGTTTACCATGAGCGTGGTCGTTTTGGCCAGTCCAGAGTTGACGGCCGAAAGCTGTGCTCGGTCAACAAACCGGTGATCTTTGTCAATGCTATACAGACGGGGGGGGGGGGGGGGGGGGGGGGCTATTCTTTACCAATGCCCACGACAGCGCTGCTCCGTGCTTGCTTTCAACGTCGTAAAGTTCCTTGTGTGCGTGTCCTCGTCCGGTCACCATGCAGAAAGCGAAAAGGCCTGAGGTGTCACGAACGGATCAGCAAGGCTCCCATTTTCCCCCTTGGAGCTTTCGAGGTGACGCACCGATGATGACGGCGGGAAGAACAATCATTTGAACTTCATATGCTCGTCGGAGTTTGGGGATGGGGACATTGAGCGTCCAGCATGTCATGACCCAGTAGACAAGCATTCCTGAGACAACATCAGTAGAGTCCTTTTCGCCCACATATCCCGTAGGAGATGTTTTCACAAACCGATGAGTTGCTGCACGGTGATGTTCGAGCTCTTGGGGATGTGGTTGGGCATGTTCCAATAACTGTTGCCAAAGATGCACCGCAGCACCACCGCGGTGAAGTATCCGCCCTGCGCGATGGTGACGCCGGCCCAGACGAGCGCACAAAGCGCCCGGATCAAGACGGGGAAGTAGGCGCCCCGAAGACCCCAGACCAGGCGCGTCTCGACAGGGAAGCCGAAGTGGTAGGCGGCGGCGGCGCGCGAATGCATCACGATCCCCAGGGACCCGAAGCAGAAGCCCAGGAACAGACAGCCCAGCGCTTGACCTGGCGTCAGTCCGATGGCCAGCAATGCAGCCCCGAGGTACCAGCAGCCCGGCGAGAAGCCGTAGGACCACCAGAAGGCGGCGTAGTCGTACCAGCTCCACGTCTGGTGGCTCTTGGGGCTGACATCGAGGTCCTCGTTGATCCACCGGTTGCGAGAGACGGCGGTGTTGCTGGTGGCATCGGGTTTGGTCTCGACGTACTTGACAAAAGCCGGCCAGCTGCTGAAGGCATGTCGGAAGTCGTGGAATTGACGGCGGACATTGTCTCGGAATTGGTTAAGAGGCTTCATTTTGACGACGAGAACATGCCACCTTGACACATGGATGCCCCATGAGACTTCCTGGTGGATACCGACCGATGTGTTATATACATGAGAACATAGTCCAGCTATACACGTTGTGACACTCATTAAATGCTCTTATCGCATTGGCCGAGTGTGAACGTGTATACCAAGCCAGGAATACGCCTGTCTGCATCCACGGTCTTATCATGCTGGTCAGTGAGAGATGTGGTGGTGAGATAGATGATTCTCAGATATACGAGGGTATGTATCTGGCCATGTTATCTGACGACGGGAAACTCCAGGCAGAGCCTCGGCCGAGTTGATGCTTGATACAGATGGACTTGTATAGCAAGTAGCCTCGTCCCGTGTGAATCTCTGGTGGCCAATAGCGTGAGTGGTATTTGACGAGGTTGACCAAGAGAGAAGATAGGAACCAATCAGCAAACTCCCTTTGATTACGATGGCCGAAGGTGCGAAGGACGTCGGCCGAGCATCGACAAGTGTGACGGATGTGACAATGTGACTGCGTACCAACAGAGTTTCGAAGCCTAAATTCAACTCTCGCCTTCAGCTGAGGCTGGACGCTGACAGTGGACGATGCTCCTCATCAGTCCTGACAAAGACAATACCTCGCATATCAAGCACTCCAGGTCTGTCTACTCTCATCAAAGCGCATTCTCTCCTTCAAACGCAGACCACGTCGATCACACCTCAAGATGGGCTCGTTGGGAGGACAGTCCAAGTTGCCACCCATCCTCGACTTCTCAGGTAGGTTGCCAGCATCTCCACAGTATTGCGAGGCAGAAGACTGACGACGACGACGACGACGGTAGCCTTTCGTAGTAAAGACGCAGCGTTGAGGACCGAATTCTTGCAAGAGCTGGGACAAGCCTGTCGAGACAAAGGCTTCTTCCAACTCACCAACCACGGCGTATCAGCCGAACTCCAACAAAGCATCTTCGCCGCCGCCAAAGAGCTGTTCGACCTGCCGCTGGAAGAAAAGTTACAGGCGAGACTGACGCCCTCAACCAAAGGGCGAGGCTACGAGACAATAGGAGACCAGATGCTGGAGCCCGGTGCAGCCCCAGACACCAAAGAGGCCATTTACCTGGGCGAAGACCTCCCGGCCGACCACCCGCGCGTGCTGCAGGGCGAATATGGGTGTGGCTCCAACATCTACCCTCGGTCGCTGGGGCCGCGGTGGCACGAGACCTGCATGGAGTACTTTTACGCCATGACGGCGCTGGCGCAAGAGGTCATGCGCGCGCTGGCCTGCGCCCTCGACATCCCCGAGGACTACTTTGACCGGTTCACCGAGTCGGCGCCCACGGCGACGCTGCGCCTGGTCCACTACCCGCCGACGCCGCGAACGGTGTCGGACAACGAGGAGAATAACAAGGCGCGCGGATGCGGCGCACACCGCGACTTCGGCTGCGTCACGCTCCTCCTGCAAGACCAGGTCGGCGGGCTGCAGGTCCAGGACGAGGAGACGGGCGAGTTCCTCGCCGTCGACCCCTGCCCCGGCGCCTACGTCGTCAACCTGGGCAACCTGATGGCCCGCTGGACCAACCACCACTACACCTCCAACACGCACCGGGTCATGAACTTTTCGCCCGCGGACCGCTACTCAATCCCCTTCTTCTTCAGCGGCAACGCCACGTACACGCTCGAGACCATCCCAGGCCTGGAGCAGCGGCCGCCGTCGGCGCTGACGAGGAAATTTGGGCCCGTCATCCCCCCGGAGCCGTACGGGCCCGTCTCCGTCACGGACTTTCTTCGCGACCAGTTCGTGCAGTCGTATAAGCGTGCCAGCGACTACAGACCAGAGAGCCCGAAGACGGTCAACGCCACGACATAGGCTAGACTATAATCTGTAACGCATATCTGTCTTGCCTTGGGTTCTGGAAGGGAGGGGGTGTTGAGCTTGGTTTTGCGGTTGGATGCTTTCGTCATTCAGTCATCCCGAACCGCCGTGCTCAGGTTCTCGTGAGAATATAGCACCGAGTTTTTAGCAGGAGTGAAAGTATAGGAATCAGCTTAATGGTGTTTTACGTGTACATGTTCATTTACCAACGCTTGGAGGGTACCAGGTGTGAAAGAGAAACGGGTCGGAGTCGTTGATTACTCAATATAAAGGGTCTTGTAAGATCAATATGAGAACGAAACACTTGAAAAGGATAGTCTCTCCTGGTTTACCATGACGATCAGAAATCCAGCTTCTGTATCCAAACTATAAACTATACACACACACAACCACATACATGTCCAAAGACAAGCACTTGTTGTCTCTCTCAAAAGTTCACACGTTCGCTCCCTCGCTCAACAGTCGACAGGAATCGGCACGGGCCCGACAGGGCCTCTGCTCGCGCCAATGTTGGCCTGGTGCATCGACCGCGGACCGTACTTGATCGGGTAGTCGACGGCGGTGTGGAACATGCCGTAGTTGTCCCACATGACGATGTCGCCCTCCTGGACCTCCGGGAGCCAGATGTACTCGGGCCGCAGGACGCGCGACTGGATCTTGTGCAGGAACTCGCGGATCTCCTCGACCTGGTCGATGACCGTGGGCGGGGAGTCGCTTGAAGATCGGAGAAAGAGTTTCCGCGCCCCCAGGCCGTGCACTTGGAACGCCTTCTCCCCTGTCACGGGGTTGATCCAGACGAAGGGGTACTTATTTGTTTTCGTCACACGTTAGTTGGTGTCACTCTGTCTAAGAAAGTGATGCTCTAAGGCGGAGTGGAGCGACCAGGGGGGAAGGGGGATAGATGGGGTACAAAAGGTCGAAGAAACTTTCTTTTACCTTCTTGACATCCTTCTCGTTATATTCGCCGAGTTCCTCAATCGTGTGCTCCTTGCCCTCGGACTTCAGGCCCAGCCCCGTGGAGGGCGCCTTGCAGTTCTCCACCCACATGTACGGGTACGGCGCGTACTCGACCCAACTGTGGTCGGCCACCTGCTTTTCGTCGTCGCTGAGCATGTCGTACAGTTGGGACGTGCTGAAGAACGCCGTCAGCCCGGGCGGCGACTGCATGCTGAGTCCAGACCCGTCGTCCCACCGGATCGTCACGTCCGGCCCGGAGGGGAGTTTGACAGCTCTGAGGGTCGTGAACCATGCGGGATCACGAGCGTACAGCGGCGCGTCAATGTGCCATCTCTGGAAGCGCGTGAAGCCTTGTTCGAAATCCTCGTCCGCGGGTGGGTCGGCGTGGAAGTCGTTTGAGAGTCCTTTGACCGTGAGATTCTTGAGTCCATAGTGATCCTCGCCTGGATGAAACTCGGTTAGCTTCGAAGGCTGAAACAGTCGAATCGTCTCTCTCTCTCTCTCTCTCTCGCGTTCGCTCTCTGTTTACCTTGATATCCCTTTCCGACCAGACGCACATTCTCCGCCCCCGGAATCCCATAGACGTCCCGCGCTTTGGACAGCATGCCACCTTTCTTCTGGAATGTCTCCAGATTGCCGTGGCTGTGGAGCTGAGGAGCCTCGGGGTCGAAGCGCGTGACAAGCTCCCAATGTTTTTCGGGGGTGAGGTCCTTCTGGCCCCTGACGACGATGACCTTGTGCGTCCATATCGTCTCCTTGAGCAGCCTGACGTCGTCATCTTTACGATGTCAGCTGCACGTTCACTATCAAATGCCGAACCAGCACGGACTCGTTCGTACCAGAGATATCGTTGAGATCTAGTCCTTCGACGACGGCGCCGAAGTTGAACTTCTGGTCCTTGCGCTTGACGATTGGTAGCACCTGGAATGAGGGCTCGGGAGTGGGCGCCGCTGGCGACATTGTGCCTCTTTTTCTGCTCGTCGAGTTGGCAAGTATGTGAATGATCAGTGATCACTGTTCAACGCCTCTCTCAGCTTGGACTTTGGTGACGACAGTTTATGAATTCCGACAGTCATTGTCGACATTCGAGTTATTGTACAAGTATCAATAGGCTATGTCCGATGGTCTCGCATGAGTGGCTAATCGAGAGTCTGCTATTCGTAGTGACTGGTATCTGGGTCCTCGGCCGAGCTTTGGTACGAGGGTAGTTCTCAAGGTGCGCTGTTATCGCAGCTGTTCGGCCTTGGTTGCTGATTCGCCCGAAGAGCACATCAAGTCGCATCGGCAGACTTGGTACTAGCACTCGACCAGTCAGCAGTCAATGCTATACTGTCCAGAGTGGGTGGCTTGTGTGGATGTTGCGTCGGAACCTGACGACGAATCGTGTCAACGGTATTTGTTTATCAACGTCGCCCTTATCAGCTGGACGATTCGTCAAGAACTTGGTCCACTGAGCTGCATGCAGATACCTAGACCCTCCTCAGCCCAGTCCCGCTATGACCTTTGGCGACCCGAGCACAATGCTGTCGGCTCACCTACGAGTCCAATGTCCGCTGCACCTCGGAGGAGACTGGCCTGTGGCCCATGCACCCGGCGCAAGGTCAAGTGTGACAAACAGATCCCATGCCAGAATTGTGTGAGGAGACGGACTCTAGCAGAATGTGAACGCGACGATCCCGACCATGAGCAAGGACATGGGCGCAGCAGCATAACCAGTATTGGGTCCCAGCCCGATGCGGCATCCGCTGTTGGTGCTCTTCGTGCTCGAGTCGCTGAACTCGAGGCTGCCTTGCAAGAGAGAATTACAGAGGCTCATGTGGCACAATGTCCGACGACACCAGCAACAGAGCAGGCCGAGGGCAGGGATGGGGCACAGCCGAGGTCGTCGTCGCCCAGTCAGGGGTCAGACATCGAAGATGCCGTCACCGTCCTGGAGTTCCTGGCCTGGGGCCGCATGAAGGATCCCGACAATGCGATGCTGTCGCCCGAAGCGCTCCGGGTATCTGAGCACGACGACGGTGGCATTGGCGTCAGTCCGGCCGAGGAGCTCGACTGCGCCCTCGACTCGGGCGTACATCTCCTGTCATGGTTGCAGATCCTACTCCCGTCCCGACGCCAGGTGTACCAGCTGGTCGACTACCACAGTGACTGTATGCTGTGGTTCCACGGCTCGTACTTTGTGCCGACCTTCTCCCAGGAACTCGCCGCGTTCTACACCGACCACGGCGGGAAATTCGACTCCAAAGGACTCACGCTGCAATGGGTGGCCCTGCTGTTCTCGATCATGGCTGGGACAATCACCTCGGCCCCGGCGCACGAGGCGAGAAAATGGGGATTCGACGAGAGTGAGGCACGGCTGTTGTCTCAGAAATGGTACAAGGCGGTGGTTGTCGCGTTGAACGCCGCCAACTACAGCGCTCATCATTCCTTACACGCCGTCCAGGCCATCACAACCCTGACCAACACCGCACACATGCTGGGCCACTCGAACGCTCAATCCGTCATGCTGGCGTCCGCTGTCCGCATCGCACAGAGTCTTGGTCTGCACAGACTGGACGACGACGCTCCTGGCGGCGCCGTTGAGCTGGAAACAGGCCGGCGCGTGTGGCAGGAACTGTGTACGCAGGACTGGTTCAGCACGGCATTCTCCGAGTCGTACTCGATCAACCCGCTGCACTCGACGTCTCTCCCGCCGCAAAACTGCGACGACGACTTGAACGTCCTGGACGAGTCCGAGCCCACCGTCACCAGCTTCTGTCGATTCCTGTCCAAGATCGCGGCCATCATGCCGGCGCTACAGGACGCCATGGCCCTGTCCAACACACTCTACACCAAGCACGAGGCCGTTCTGGTGCACGACAAAAAGATGCGGTCCCTGGCCACGGGACGGCCCTCGTTCCTCGCAAACACGGCCGTTGACACCACGTGGCCGTGCTACATTCCCTGGGCGCGCCGAGCCATTGCGATGAGTTCTGCGCACAAGATTATCATGATTCACAGGTACGTCTCACCCCCCTTCCCTCTCTCTCTGTCTGTCTGTCTGTCACTCGCACCAAACACCTGACAAGAGACGTTTCGCACGTATAGGAAACTTCTCGGCCTGAGTTTCACCAACCCCGTCTTCGGATTCACGCGGCGAACCTGCCTGGCGGCCTCCAAGACGATCCTGAAGGAGTACCTGGCCAGCAGCCGGGACGAGTCCAGCCCGATGCTCTGGACGCACCAGGCCTTTGCCGTCGCCGCCTGCATCGTCATCTGCTTCGACACCCTGCACTCGCCGTACCCGGCGCAGGACGAATCCCAACTCATCGACCAGACCCTCGAGCACCTGCAGCTGTGCCAGCAAAAGAGCATGATTGCCGCGCGAGGCGTCAAGGTCCTCAACGCCCTTCGCAGGCAGATTGAGGACCGGGCCGCCGTCGCCGTCACCGTTGTCGAGAGTAGTCGAAAGAGAGCGGTTGTGTCTAGTGATGCCCTCGTCGGGGACAGCAGGACTCGGAGAAAACGTCGTCGAGGGTTCGACGCGGCAGAGTTTGCCCGGTCGTTCTCCGATGGGCGGGATCGTCCTCAGCAGACCTTAAGTCAGGGCCGTACGGAGCGTCAAAGTCAAAGTTCTGCGGCAGAGACGGACCTTATGCTGCAGCAGCAGCAGCATCAGACAGGGGAAGACCTGGCTCAGGCTCAAAGCCTCGGCGTGGACGAACCGCTGACTGTGCCTGCGGATATGAATTGGTTGTGGAATATGCCTCTATCAGACGAGGATGGTACGCAAACATTTGACAACTTGATGTCTTTTGCAAATCAAGGTCGTGCATTCTAGCTAGCGTCGAGAGGTACCAACCACCAAGTCAAAGGAGATTTTTCGCGGCCAAACAGGGTTTTCTTCTGGATATCATGGTACGACCCTTCAGATTTGGCCTTTTCCAGAAAGGATATGACTCTATAGTAGCGAGTTTCCATTCGAAATCGCATCACTAATGACGCCAGCGCGGAACTGATTCTTCCTGGAACAAGGACGTACAATGCTTCCTCCCACTCATTGACGTCCACCATGCCCAAAATGCTACTCTGACGGGTGGTCCGATGCTGCAATATTGCACTGATGCATGATTCTTGGTCCGTACGACTCAGGGAACTCGGTCTTGTAATGCCCATGTCAGCGGATTGCCAAAGCAGCACAGGCTCTGCAGTCAACTTACAATGCTGTGCCACAATGCCCGGTTGTACCAAAGAACCACGTCTTGCTCTTGGTGGGGATGGGCATAGATGTTTTCAGGCGAGATTGCTGGGCGCATGATTCTACCACCTTGTTAGCCAAATATCTCGCACAGCGCCAGCGAGATATTGCCATGGGAAAAAACAGACTTGTGCATGAATTCCCTCACTTCCTTCAGATCATCGACAATTCTTTCTTCTCCATCAGCACTGCTTTTGAGATACAACTTGACCGCGCCTTGTCCGTGCACCTGCAACGACTTTTCGCCGGTCTTCGGATTCGTCCACACCATCGGATAGATGCAGATTTTGCTCTCGTCGATGGGTGGGAGCTTCTCGCGTGGCAGCTCAAGCCCCTCGGTTTCTAGAATATGGCCAAGTCTGGCGCTATGGGCAGTCGACATCCATTTGAAGGCGTGGGGCGCATACTCGATCCGGGAATGGAAGGCGAGCTGTCTTGTCTCTTCGTCGAGGAGTTGCAGAGCTCTGGATCCGGCAACATAGGCAGTGGCTCCAGGAGGGATTTTCATCTCCGTCCCGGTCCCGTCGTCCCAGCGGACAGTGACATCCGGACCCTTTGGAGTTCTGACTGCCAACAGACAGCCTACCCGTGGAGGTGGGATATTGTACAAGGATCCATCCCAATGCCACTGGTAGAACCTGCTGGCTCCTTTCTCGCGTTCTTCTCTGGGAATGTGAGGCGGAAGGTGGAATTCCCGATGATCGATACCCTTGACTTTGAACCCAGGAGGAAACTGATAATGATCCTTGGGAACTTCGCCTCGTCCCAATATATGCACTTGTGGTTGAACCGGGATGGCAGGTCTGCTCTGAATGCCGTAGATGTTGACGCCATTGTGCGACGTCAGAAACGGATCGGCGCCATGTGCAAAGCCGCCTGTCGTCTCGTCCGGGTCAAAATTCGCAGTCAGCAGGTATTGTTGTTCCGGCTTGAGCATCTCCGGCTGTTCTTTGAAAATCAGCACTTTGTGCTTGTACAACGCCCCAGAGATCAAGTTGAAATCCGCATCAGTGAGCTTGTTCAAATCTATTCCGTATACCTCAGCTCCGAAGTCCACTTTGCTTTCAGCCGGATGGCTGACAGGGACAATCCGCCCATGTGTCTTTTCGGCATGTGGGAGCGTGATATCCGACGCCCTAGTTGCAACGAGCCTTGCCTTGACACCTTCCGGGGCAATCACTTCGGTGAGAGCTTCGACAACCATTGCGGCAGAGATTTAATGCTGTTGTTGGGAGACAAGGTGCTGCATTGCTGCAATTGCGGTTCACCGAGAATCCCTTTTCAATCATCGAATTTCGCTCGAAAACCAGACGCGCCGAACCCCAACCAACCATAAATGACTGCACCACTCGGCCACTTGTCCATCGGCCGAGTGTACTGCTGAAGCAAAGTGCTCGTGAAAAGATTGGATCGACTCTATCCTATCACCAGTATCGTCTTCGGCCGAGATCCACTTTGAACCCCGGCCGAAGTCAAGTCCACCAATTTGGTTATGGGTGTCGCAGGCTAGATGAGTCCTGGTGTCAGTGAGCCAACATACATGTGGCGTTTGGATGCTGCTGTTGGTTTAGAACAGGCAGATCTCACAACCCTAAGAATCACAAAGATGCGGCCGAATGAGTCGAGAAGACACCTCACACTGAACGGTACCGACGTCCACTATATTTCGTCCGGCAACACGGAAGGGCCTCTCACTGTCTTGTTGCATGGACTGGGAGGCTCAACAGGGACATTCAGAGACCTAATTCCCCTCATACCACCAAACTATCACATCATCAGCATCGACATCGAAGGATTTGGAAAGACACCCTTGCACCCAGGAAAGCCTCTTTCATTCGAGCGATATGTCTCCGACCTACACGATCTCATCACACATATTCAGGAACATTCTTCAACCTCGACAGCAGGAACGAGCAATGGTATCAAACACAACAGTAGCAAGGAGCCAATCTGTCTCGTTGGTCATTCTCTCGGCGGTATCATCAGCTTACATTATGCTGCCCAATACCCGTCCGAGGTGGCAGGACTTTTACTTCTGGGAGCAGGTCGTTCCGTGAGAGGAATCCCACCGGCGCAGCAGCGCATGCGAGATCTTGCGAAAACAGCGCGGGAAAAGGGTATCCAGGAGGTTGCGCAGATCGCAGTCAAGTCGAATTTTCCAGCGGATCGCGTCAACGACCGATCGCACGAGCTACAGGTGTATGACGCAGTGGTCTCTTGCTCTGCCGAAGCGTATGCAGCTACGGCAGAGTTAGTCGCCAGCGACGACCACTGTGACCCCGACTACAGCCTGATCAAGTGTCCAGCTGTGTTTGTGGCCGGTGACAAGGACATGATCAGCCCACCACAGAGGTCGAAGGACATTAGTAGTTTGGTCGGAGGCGCATCGGAGATTGTGTTGGTCAAAAGCGGTCATCAGATGATCTTGCAGGATATTGAGGGTGTCACAAAGGCCTTCAACAAGTTGCTTGCAATGGTATGAGTCGCGAGGAGGAAGGGGAAGTGTTGAAGTGGTCGAACTTGACACGTGACATTACGGTGAATCAAGTGTGGTTGAGACTAAATGATTCTCCGTAGCGCGTTCTAGCAAATGCCAGGATCACATGTTAGCTAACCGCTTCCATTGGTCACTCTAGGTGACTAGTTTTTCTAAAGCGGCGGCACTGACCACGCAAACTCGACGTGGCGTGTTGACGTGTCAAGCATTTGGCCGTCACGCTGCTTATGAGGCGGTAACCAAGCGCCCGCCAAGCCCTTTGAAAGTCGGACTGCGAACCTCTCAGCTTTTAAAATACCAGTGCAGGTCGCCTTCCTCATTCATCTCTCTGCCTTCCCTCCCATACATCACGTCCACCTCCCAGTTCCCGCATCTGTCGAGGCTCACACACTCGTTGATTCTCCATGCCAAAGTTGCCGGACATTCCACTTCGCCCTTTGGACAAGATCGATCTCACGCAGAGTTCCTGCGCCTGAAGACCTGTGGCGCCTTTCCGTCAAGCCGCGTTTGAGCAGCTGACCGCTTGCCCAAGTCTCTGGTGAAGACTGTAGCAACTATCGCCTAAAACAACGTCGCACGAGCCAAGAAACTGCTCGCTCGACATTCTCCCGTCTTCTGTCAACTGATTGCAGTCTGTTAGAGTCCTCGTCCCCTGTTCTCCTATGTTGCGAGCCCAATTGTTCGGTTTTCCCCTGTAGGTTGAGAGTTGAGATGGCAAGAGTGAAGCAGAAGGTGGCCAAAAAGGGTGCTGCTGGCGCCTCAACCCGAGGTAGCCAGGTAGCAAAGCAGAAGAGACACAAGGTTGCAATTGGAGGGGATCCCCAAGAGAAGAAACTGCCCACAGTGGTAAGACCAGAAAAGTTTCGTCGAGGCCATATTGCCAGTGCTTATAACCGGGATAAGATATCATTCCAAGAGCGTCCCCCGCCTGGATACACTTTCATCCCCGCCGGAAACCCTGAGCTCACCAGCGCATTGAAAGAGTTCGCTCGCCGTGGCGACCACAAGATCTACGCCGTGACGGTAAGCCAGTTTTTTTTTTTGAGAGGAATGTACGAGCGTGTTTCACTGACGTTCAAGGTCACCCCACATGCTGCGCGTCATGAATTGTCGAGGGAGGTACATCGTGTTGGCTTCCATTTCCCTACAAGAGTTGTCGACCAAGTTTGTGCTCACTACGGCATCCGCCTGAATAATGAAGGAAAGGTCGTCGACGAGTCGAACGACGAATCCTTTTTCAGCAAAGTGTATCGCAACACGGACGGTCAACGCCCAGTAGAAGAGAAGGATCAGATCACCATCAACACTGATGCCAAACAGACCATCAAAGATTTGTTCCCCAACATCCCCAACAATGATTTGTACCAGATTATTAAGACTGCATTTCAGCTGGGCGATCACAGGGTCGGTACCGCAAACGAACTTCCACTTGTCCGAAGAGCCCAGCTATCCGTGGTTGCCCACATCCGGCATAACTACACCCAATATGACAAGTTGCTGAGGCAGATGCCATACAACGAGGCTCGTCATATGGTGGAAAAGGAGACACTCGTCAAGCTGGTTGAGTGGCGTGGGGGTGAAGACACCACTCTCGAGAACACCACAGGCGCCGCAGATGATCTTCTCAAAGAGGTCATTGTCATCTCTGACGAGGAGGCATCTGAGAGCGACTCGGACAGCGTCGAACCTTTAGACCAACACCGTGTTCAGGTGGAAGAACTCCCAAGCACTTCCTATGGTCCTGGCCTCGGTCGCGCCATTTCGCCTTTGCCACAATCACAGCCTGAACGCATCTTGGACTATCCACCCGCAGTTCGCAGCTACAGACCGTCTAACGCAGAAATTGCTCGGCGCAATCAAAGCAGATATGCCATTTGGGAACAAGCTAAGCGAGACTATCACTCCAACGTCGCTCAGGGACCAGTTGCCGTTCTTGAGAGGATTTATGAGCCTGAGCCAGCTCCAGGACCACGCATGCTAGTGCCTCTTGACCCTCCCACGCACTCACCTGCCCAGGTATTTCACACCCAAGCTCCTCCGGCAAGCATAGCAAGAGCGGATTACGAGGTAAGAGGAATTCCGGAGATGCTCTCTAAACATTGTCTGTCGACAGGCAGACACGATAGCTGCTGACTGACTGTCTTAACAGCCACCAATTCGAAGTCGTCAACCAAGTCCACCGACATACATCCGAGACGCAAATGGTGTGTTGTATGAACGCATCGACACTAGGTCCCGAGCAAATCATGCAGACACCCCACCACACTTTCACAAATATCCGGCACCAACAATGGCAGGAGCGCAAGTTAGAACCCGCCCTTCTTCACCTCAAGACTTCACCCGACGGGAGTCGCGCAATATAGATTTCGAGAGAGGTGATGGTACGGTACTACCATCGATCGAAGGACCCGATGGATCGTATATGTCTCCTCGCTTGCGACGAAACCCATTTGAAACGCATACTGAGCCTCGTGAAACTAACGCAGGACGGGAAGTTGGGCGCACGGCGAGGAATGCTACCTATATTGACCTAACGCACAGCTCCAGCCAAACGCCTAAGAGACGTCGGTTGGACGAGGTGCAACCAGTCCAAGAACGCCACGTGAACAGAAGAGAGTCTCCTGGCAGGCTTGTTGACCGTCACTATATGCCTCAGCCAGTGGCTGCCCATTCTGAAATCCGCACGGCTGATTATGGTGAGCATCGATCAAGCCCACGTCTGCCACCGGGAATTTCTACCCGGGAAGCTGCTTATGCTGATCGTCACCCCCTTTACGATGCTCATGATTCTCCACATTCTGTTGTACGTCTGTATGAACCCTTACCTGCCACTCATGAGCTTCGCGAGACGACCACGATGCAGCGCCAATATCATTCGCAAAACTACGCGGCCTCTAGCCACAATGAGTTTGAGTCGATCCGACCCACTCGGGATCTGGGAAAACGACCATTGCTTCCGTTAGGTCAAGTCTACGAGCCTATTGGCGAGTCTCGCACATATGACAGCAGGATTGCTAGGGAGCCGGAGAGGCTTGTCCGTGAACAATATGTGCAACCTATCGTGCAAGAGCCTCGTGTACGGTACATTTACCCTGATGGATCGAATGGTCGTGAACCTCTACAACCTTTGCCTCCACAGCGTTTACCCGAGTATGATCGGGCAACAGCGGCTCTGCATTCGTATGCACGCTGAAGCGGTAAACTTGAGCGTCATCTGTCCGGATCCCTTGAAGACATACATCGCAGAGATTCCGGGACGACGGTAAGACTTCAAGGCAGAAACTTGCTTGAGCATACATTCCCGGCATATTTTCTACTGACAGCGCTGATACATGGAACAGGTATTTTCACAACGCGACGCTATGCAATCAGCATCTCCCACATCTTCACCTACTCGACCTTCTGTAGACCAATCTCTACTCTGGTCACGGCTACTTTGCTTCACCAGTATCAAAAGTATTGTTTGCTACGATTCCTGCATCGCAAATGGGTGGGTAATGTCTGCATGTTTTTAAGACTGCGGCGTACTTCTATGTCGACTATCGAATGTGGACTACCAATGGATTACGACCGGATACTGTTATCTTGTCCTTGTAATGTTATGCTTGATCAAGATACCCAGCTTTTCGATTACGCTAGATCATGATCGGAGGCTTGCAAGATGGAGTTTGGGAGGCACACTCGGTCTTCTTGTGCACAGGTGCGAAATGACAGCAGGGTATTGATCTTGGGGTTTCTCCTTCCAAGGTTCGATATATGCTGAGACCTGGATGCGCAAGTTGTGAAACTGCAGCGCGTCGTCAGATAGGGCTGGGTGTAAGGGATACTCAATGACGGAAACTTCAAAGTTCAAGTGTTGTGTGTGCACTGTAGTTGTTCTATTGCTTGCTCTGCAAAAGGATCGAATATCATTCCCACAGCCGCCCATATCTCCATTGAAGCGACTTATCACAAAACCCAAATGATACAGCGTCCTCACTGCTCGGCTGCGATAACCTGTCAATATGACCTGGCATCCCGTTTCCGTTCTTCCAGTTTGCCAGCGCCGAGTTTCCCCCACCAGCGGCACACTGCCTTTTTTTTTTTTGTTGGCGTAAGTGGTTGCGTTGGAGACATGCCCTTCATTTCAGGTCCTTTTGTGGGATCTCACACGGACATGGTGATGCCGTCGGCCTCGCCCGAGTTGACCGTCTTGCCGGTCTTCTTGATCTTCTCGAGCACGGTCTCGTACGAGACGGAGTCTTCGGTGGTGACGTCGGCGGTCTGCGTGTCCAGCGACACCTTGTAGTCCTTGACACCTGTACATACAGGGAGGATAGAAGTGTAGGTTAGTCTCGCGATTGGCGTCTGGCTTGGGAAGGGAAAGACAATGGAGGGCAAGGATGGGCGCAGCTTGGAGACAACTTTTGGATATGCAAATGGCCGTTCGCTAGACTCACCGTCCAGTTTCTTGAGCACGCGCTCGACGGCGCCGGAGCAGCCCCCGCAGGTCATGGTCACGTTGAATTTGTAGTGGTGTTCAGACATATTGTCTCGCTCGGATTGCGCGATGGGTCAGTAAGGGTGTGTGGGGAAGGTGGTTGGTGTCGCGAGGATATATTGAACTCGTGAGTGATTTGAGAGGTCTGTATCTTGTGTACGCGAGAGAGCAAGTTGTCAAAGTGGATAGGGGATGTTGGTGGTATCTTTATATGTTACCGCAGTCGGTTCGTTGTGAAGGGAGGGGTTGGGTGAGGTGAGGCCGAAAACACCACCAGGAACGGTAAGTGGTGAGGCTGAGGTATTTATGCGGGTTATTATCTACTGGGTGGTTCACAAGGATATGAGATTTCAGCTCAGCTCTCGCCGTGACAGGAACAATCAATCAATTCGGGGTTCAAAACAAGAGAAAGGAAATCAAACAAAAGGGGAGTGTTTTACGCTTGGATAGGTCGTGTGAAACATGCTCGACACTCTGGTTCATTAGTAAACATGCTCAACCCATCGCGCCATGGGATAACTGAGCACCGCAATCCGAGGGGGCGGTGAAGGAAAGGGAGGGGGGAGGGGTGGGTGGGTGAGAGCGCGAACGAGCGCCTTTTGCCCCTGGTGCTGAAGGTCCGGGGCGGAAGCTGGGTAGTTTAGGGGGTGGTTTGTGAGTGGGCATTGGTAAGCAAACGCTTCTTTCGTTAAAGGACGGTTCCTGAGCCACTGAAGTCCATGCCTGGGGTGAGATGGCGGAACGGACTATCTTTAGGTGTCCAGGCGCCTAGGAAGTAGCCTTTAGGGCCTTCTTTCGGGCAGCGAAGCAAGTCCCCTGGCGCAATTGATGTTTTTTGGAAGGGGGATTGCGTGATTGACTCGGGGGACCAAACGACACAAACTACACAAACTGTGCAAACTATTCAAATACGCCAACTCCTCGCAAAACAAGCCAAGCCGCTCGCGTCTATCATGTCTCGGCCAAACTCCGTCCTCAGTCCCCTGAGCTCCATCAACTACCCTTATGTGCTACTGTATATAGTAATATCCTACTACCTTGTCCCGTGCTTGTCTTGCTCCATCCGGATGGTTTCTGTACAAGTAACCTGTTCCCCTGGTAACCTGCTAACGAATGAATGTCACCACACACGCCCACACCCAGCCTTTTTGACGGCTGCCTGATCGAAGTCCTGCACTATACGAGGTATACGATAGGTACATAATATATATGTATATATATCAATGTTTGTAGGAGTTTTTTGTTTCCGGCTCTCACCAATCGAGAAACTTGACCTGTTTGCCACAAAGAGAGCTTTCAGAACGTATTATATCCATACTTCACTTACCGTCAAAATGGTCTTTTCTGTCCGCATTGGCGCCATCATCACGACGGCGGTGACGGTGGCATTCACTCCCCTAGCTGCAGTGGCATTATCTTCGTCAGCCACGAGTGACAGCTACACACTGTGCCAGTTCTACTCGAGCATCCCGGGTCTCTCCTCTGCGGATTCGACATCCTTGACGCTGCCTCTCTGCCCTTCCAGCTTATTGACCTTCTCGTACACGATTCCCCCCGAGACGACCTCGACAACCCCGATCGAGGGCCCGACTACCAGGACATGGGCGCCCTCGCCCAGCGTCACCAGCTCTTTGACCCTGTGCCAATTCTACTCGAGCATCCCCGGCCTGTCTTCGCCGTCGACGACGCCCGTCTCCAGCATGACCCTGCCTTCGTGCCCCGCGAGCCTGCAGGGTATCACATACTCGTACCAGGCCCCCCTGGGAACCAGTGGCGGTTCCGCGACGGGGACCGCACTGTCAGCCACATCTGCCACCAGCACGGCCGCTGTTGTGTCGAGCTTCACCGGCGCGGCTGCTCCCAGACCAAGTTTGGATAGAATGGTCCTTGGGGGTGTTGGCGTGGGAGGCATCCTGGCAGGAGCAGTGGGGATGATGGCATGAAAGATTTACAGAGTCTTGACAGCCACCTCTCACAGCTGTGATGGTGGTTCCAAGACCCGCCTTGGATATGGACAGAGGCTTACATGCAATGACTGTACGGTATTTGTCCTTGGATGTAGAGGTGCCACGGTGGCCCAGCCCGACTTCGTACCATGTCCTTGTTTCGACAAAGGAACTCACTCATTGGGCGGCGTCTCCGTCATCTATTCTGTATCACGCTTCCGATCAAGGATTAGATACACATTGAATGAAGGCATGAATGAACGTATATGTATTCTTTGTCCACCCTCACCCTATAGAGTCAGTCCGCTTTCAGCCATTTCCTCCTTTTCCCTTTTCTCTCGACCGACAGTACCTCAACACAGCTCTCAAACTCCACGATATGGTGACGCCGTAGAGTCAAAAAGGACTATCTATTGCCTGCGTCCTCTGTCTATGTAGGTATGTCTGTTCTCATCATTTCACCACACTGGACGGGCCGACGGTTCTTCTCGTGATAATGAACGGGTGATCCATCCATCCATCCACACATGCCAAGTATGTACGTACCTCGTTACCTTCTGTAGGTAGTACTCACAAACACCCTCACCACCCTCACCATGACACGTTTGAACTCTGCTCTCCTGAACTGCACCCTACTCCACTGTTCTAGACAACCACGCCATTAAGTCATCTGGACACAGGCGGATCCGGGCATCTGGGAATACTTGTACTTGTGGTCCACAAGTCTATATGATGAGGCGCATAGATAGATGTATGGGACTCGCCATGGAATGAAGAGAAGAAAAAAGTGGATTGAAATAGCGATATCCAAGCAGAGCCATAGCGAGGTCATAGCCATAAACCACCATAAATCACCATGAAAGCAATAAGAACAATCAACCCATCTGGAAAATCAATGATTGGACAATAAACAAGTAGAACCAGACGGAAAACCAGATGGTAATGGCGATGGGTGTCAAGCTTGGACAGGATAGGATGGATTGGGCTAGGATAGAAACCCGGTGAACCATGTATCAAAAGACCAATAAACAAAACACTTGCTGTGCTGTGCCGTGCGGTGCTGTGCCGTTTGTGGTCCATGAGCCAGCGCGTCTGTAGATTAGCCAGCGAAATATATTGATCAGTATACGTATGAGCTGGGGATTGTAAATCACTCCAACGCCATACTTGACCAGTGTTGGCCAAGTGAGCTCAAAAACGCTCGGTATGGACGCATATGAGTAAGATGAATGCCCAGAGCAGATAACATCCATCGAACAAATAGTTCATTCTGTACATGATGTGTGCGTGCCCGAGCATAATGCACACGGACAAGCAAAGTAGATGCTCTAACCCACTTCAAGAACGCCCATGCCACGACACAGACACTGCAAATGCTTATAGCTCTGGCATTCTCCGGTGCCCTTACTTTCTGTACCACAGTCTTGTGATACGGGTATGTCTCACTATCATCATTGGTTAGTTGATTGGCAAAGAAGGAATTGCAAACCCAACATACTCTTTTTCTGCAACTGAAAAATGCCGTACATCAATGCCTCGCTCGTCGGCGGGCAGCCCGGCACGTAGATGTCGACAGGAACAATGCGATCACACCCCCTCGTCACACTGTAGCTGTAGTGATAATAACCTCCACCGTTGGCACAAGACCCCATTGAGACCACCCATCTCGGCTCCGGCATCTGGTCATACACCTGTCGCAGCGCCGGTGCCATCTTATTGGTGAGTGTTCCTGCCACAATCATCACATCACTCTGTCTGGGCGACGCG